AAATATGAATTTCATATTTTGTTTCTGCTATTACTTATTTTAATTTCTTATTATTTATTTTCTTTTATTCTTTCATTTAATTTGCTTTCATTATTAATTTTTTCTATTTTAAATTTTATTTATTTTTAATTTAAATATTTTCACTTATTTCTATTTTAATTTATTTATTTGCTTTATTTCTATTTTAATCTTTCTATTTATTACAAAACTCGAGTCTTGCATTATATTAATTATTTGTTATTAATATTAATTTGTTATTAATATTAATTTATTATTTTTCTTTTAGAATTCGTTAACAACAATTTAATACGTTCATTATATTTAGCAAGATTATTTAATGTGGGTAACTATATTAAAAATGTTCAGTTTTTAGAAAATGAAGTTGAAGTAACATACGTGGATAACAGTCAAAAACAGTTTTGCTATCAAAAATTAGGAGATGAAGAAGACCTGATTTTTGCGAGTGAAGTTTCGTGCGGGTTAGATACCATACTAGAAGTAAGTCAAAATCCCTGCAAACATGATAGCATTTATCAAGTCAAGTACGAAGAGCTACATGTTTTTTCACCTAAAAGTATCTCAAATAAAGGAATTGGAATTTATAAATAAAATATTTAAATATATTTAATAAATTACTAATGATTCTAAATAGAAAATGCAAACAAAGAGGATGATGTTGGATATAAAAAAGGCGATAATAAAAGATATGAAAAGGATGATGATAGATATAAACCAATAGCTACTATTAAAAAACAATGTATATTATTAGTAATAATTTGTTTATTTATGTTTTATTTTTTGCTAAATATTTTTTATATTTAGATCTATCAATATCTACCTCTAAAGTAACTAAAAGTCAACATTTAAAGACAAATAAAAATTAAGAAATTCACTCTAATATTATTAGTAATTGTTTAATATTGAGTGCAATTTCTTATGATTCAAATATTACAAAAATTAAAATTTATTCTGAAAAACATAAGGCGGTAGTAAAAAATCAAACAGGAAGTGCTACATTGGAACCAATTAATTATACTTATATTAATAAATTAACAAATAAAATTCAATTTCCAAAATTTGTGCCTGTAGATCTAGAAGATGCTATAATTGGACCAGTAAGTCCATTAGGTTTTTTAATAGATTATCGACTATTTGAAATTAGATCTTAAGAAGAAATAGATTAAAGTTGCAAAGTTATATAGTGAGTTTTGATTATTAAAAGCAGGCCTTCCTGTTGTAGCTTCTTTTTATGATATAAATTTAGGTGTATCAAAATCTACATACTATAAAGACATTATAGAGAACTTAAAAATTATAATATAGCAAAATTCTACCTCAATTCTAACTCAATTTTGCTATTCATCAATTAAAGGGGCACTTGATTTAGATTCATATTTAAAAAAATGCAACAACACTCAAACTTCATTAGAAATTGAAAACAGTAATATTCAGAAGCAAATTATATTATTACAAAAGATATCACATCTACCTCTTAATATTTTTCCTGATGACCAAAATTTAAATAAAAAAACATCTTTACAACAACTTGAACAACAAATAAATACTTTAATAAGCTTATGAATACATGCTATAAAACTATTAACAATGTTGATATTATATTCTATACACCAGAAATATCTAAAAGAGTATCTTTAAGAACTCTTTATGAGTTTGAACAAGCTTACAATTATCTAAAAAAATCAATAATAAAGTTAGCAGTTAGACAAAAAAGAATGAAAGTAACTTCTCAAGTTAATACTCTACTTTTAAAAAGAATTTCAATTTATCATTTATTGAATATTGATCAAAAAAGATCTAATTCACAAGGTCAACAAATTATTGATAAAACAAACAAAAAAAAATGATTGAAACTAATGAAATAACAATTAAAATATCCAGATTTTCTAGCAACATATCTGCCAGAAAACTTCAAATCTTTACAACTTCTGGACTCTGGTTAGTTGAGTTATTAGAAATACTTAATAATAATTAGATAATATTAAATTTAATAGATGATATTACGATTACCTAGTTGAAGAATTTCTATAAAGAAGAGTAGATTAAGTTTATTAAATATATTAAAAGGTAATTGTTGAAATTTTTAAGTACTTTAATATATTTTAATTTAAATAACCAAATATTTTTTATAAATTTTTAGTGATTAATATAATTGTAATGTTTTTTGTATTGCATATTCATAAATTTGTATAGTTACAATATTTTTGCTATAATATAATTCAAATTTCAAATTTGTTAATAATCTTGTTTACAAATATGTATATATATTATATATTTTATGCAAATAATATAATACTGATTGCATAATTATAAAAAAATGCAGATATAAATATGATCTTTTGTTTTTCGATTAATTGACTACTAGAATATCTTCTAAGAATAAACAAAAAACTTTATGCAAATGCAATCATTGTTTAGAAAAATACAAAGATGGCTGTTGGATCCAAAAAGCAATATATAATTCTCATATACAGCGTCAACAATATTTTAAATAGATTAATACAAAAATTAACAAATATATTGATCCATTATTATTAAATGATAATAAAAACAATAAGTATGAATCTATTATTATTAAATAATAAAACTAATTTATTATTAAATTATTTAATTTTTTAAATTAATTTTTTTAGTGATTTAAATTATTTCAAAGATAATTTTAATATAGATAATAAACCTGAAGATGATTTTAATATAGATAATAAACCTGAAGATGATTTTAATACGGATAATGAATCTGAAGATAATTTTAATATAGATAATGAACCTGAAGATGATTTTAATACAGATAATGAACCTGAAGATGATTTTAATATAGATAATAAACCTGAAGATATGCAATCAGATTCTAATAATGAATCTGAAGATATGCAATCAGATTTTAATAATGAATCTGATATATTATTATCTGATATTGAATCAAATTCAGGTTTAGATTTTTTAGATAATTCTGGTTAGTAATATTTAAATAAATAATTAATAATTATTATACTTATTATTAAATAATATAGAGTCAAAATCAGAAGAATCAAATGATTCAATGAAAAAAGCTCTTAAATTGCTTAAACTTAAAGCTCAAAAAGGAACTTTAACAAATCAAATATATCAAGAAATATTAGAAATTTTTAATTGTGAAAATATAACGTTATATTTAGCAAAAAAATTTCTAGCAAACAAAATTCTTTTAAAAGCAATATTTATTGATATGTGTATAGATTCATGTTGTGCATTTACTAGACAATACGAGCAACACTTAAATTGTCTTGTATATAATAAACCACGTTATATTGATCAAGACACAAATAAACAGAAAGCTTGCAAAAAAGCTATATATTTTTCTCTTAATGATCATTTTAAAATTCAATTCAAAGATCAAAATTATATTGAAAAGATTTTATATAGATCTAGATATCAATCTAATGAAAAACTTTATAATGATATCTTTGATAGTCTTTTATATAAAGACCTTCGTCAAGAGAGATTTTTTTCTAATCTATATGATATATGCCTTATTGGATCTACTGATAGTTATCAAATATTTCGACAAAAATGAAATGATTGTTAGGTCTTTTTATATATTAATGCAAACTTACCTCCTAATGAATGTGTAAAAAAAGAGAATTTGCTTATTGCTAGAATAATTCCTGAACCAAATAGTCCAAAAAAAATAGATACATTTCTTTGACCATTAGGCCAGACCAATTTAATTTTCTGTTTAATATAACATTGATAACAAACAAAGTGAGAGGGGGAGGGTTAAAATAATACACACATATATGCATCATATGATACTAATTGTATGATTTAATTGGCTAGATATCTTGTGAAACGCAATAGTCAGTTATCTTTTACTAATGCAACAATAGATTTCTACGACCTTCCGTATACTACAGTACTGACATGAAAAAACAACTGCATTTGCATTTAAGATACTAATTTATAAAAAGTATAATTTATTTTCTATTTAGTGAATAGATATATTCGTGATATATATGAGTGCTACGAAGGAAAAATGAGACTTCAGGCTTTCAATTTTATCATCGATTATTTATTGGATTCAGCCCATGACAATTTGTTTGCGTGAATTCGATAAATAATAAATAATAAAGTTGAAAGCCTGAGATTCCATTTGTTCTTGTAATGTTAGAAACTTTAAGAAAATTTGATTGTATGAAATAATAGGAGTATTATTAAAGAAATAATATGTAAATTATATTTAAAACTTTTAATTCGCCATTACTTATTCTAGCCATTTTTTCTCTTTATTTTATACTGTATTTCTAAATAGATACACTCTATTGTAAGATTCATAATTTTTCAATTTAAATTTATAATGGTTTGCATTAGAATTTCACATAGCCATCAAAGTTTTATTGTGAAAGATTTAGACAGAGCTATTGTAATATATAATCACAAACGATCATATATTAAAAAAAAATAAAACATTTCTTTATAAAATAATTGAACCAAGATACCACAAAATTAAACTATACTCAATTACTAAAAAACTACACTATGATTTTTTTGAATCATAAAGAAATCCATTCAATCATATTCTTTTATCCTGTAGCTTTAAGTTGAAGTTTTTTAATACAATAATTGACATCCTCATTTTCACCTTTGCAATACTTTTACTGTTCGATAACGAATAAAATTTATTTTTTAAAATGTTTTGCAGCTCTATTATTGGTCTTAATTTCTGCTCTTGTATAAAAACTCCTTCTATTTTCCTGACAAATTTTGCACAGCGGATAAATTTGCTTAAAACGTTCTTTTAAAAATTCAAATGGAGATACCAAATTATCACTATTTCCGCAATAGTAACAAATCTGATAATTTCCTACTTTACGACTTGAGTAGTATAGTATTTCAATAGGCGAGTCACAGCTAATTTGTGTACGTACAAATATTACTTCCTTCAAATAATGATTATCAGAAAAAATTGGCATACTACATGAATATAAATACAACTCTAATATTTGTTAAAAGTCATATAACTTATCATCGGTTAAAGACTTGTTACTATACACATAGCAACACTTCTGGCAATCTTTACAATCAATATAATCACGAATTTTTTCTGCAATTCGAATAGATTTTGAAATTGATTCAGATTTTGCCTGCGATTGCATGTATATTGGTCTATGTTCTTCAGTCGTTATAGTTCCATAAACATCTTGAAAGGTTGCATAATGGTCCATATTATCTAATTTAAATTTTATTAATATGTAATTATTTGAATTGAATCTTGAAGTAAATAAATTTACCTTTTGAGGAAACTAGATCTGAGAGAAAGCTTAAATTTCCAAATTCATGTAATAGAAGACGAATTGGTTTACAATGTAAACAGGAATTACTATTGCATTTTTTTATCTTTAATATTAATATATAAATATGTAATAATTTTGTTGTAATCAGTAATATTCACATCTCAAAGACAACCTTGAAACACTCTAATAATAATTGTTTACATGCCTGAAAACTATAGGCATGCATTTGGCAATGAGTATCTATAAATTCGACCAATGCTAAATAATTGTGTATTTGTACTTGTGTAGTTTCTTTAATTTTTAATGTCAGATCTATACTGAAGATTGACTGATCAAAAATTAACAATTTCATATGTAAAATAGTAAATACAACAGAAAGTTAATAAGAATCTTTAATATTAGATAAAATTATCATAAAGTGTCACTTTTCTTTACTTTGAATACTTTAGTAATGGCTTCTTGATTCGCTGGGAATAACATCTAAACTTGCTATCTTTCAATTTGAGCCGTTCAGTTCTGTTATTTAATATTTCTTGAACACCTCTAATACTTTCTTTTAACTTAGATTTTAATTTAACAGATTCTTGAGCTTTTTTACATATATCATTTAAGGTGTTAGCCATCCCAAATAAAGTTTCAGATTCAAGGCTCATTGAATCATGCTTAAGCGCTACATCTTGAAGACCCAAATTCAAAGTACTCATAATTCTTTCAGCAAGATTTGTCTAGCTGTGATAAGGAGCTGTACGAACTGTGACAAGTAAATCAAAATCATCACAAAGAAAAAGACTAATTAGTGCGATTTGTACTGAACCATAATTACAATGATGATCCGGGCCTCCGTCAGTATAAAGACACAAAATCGGTAGCATTACTTGATTTTCATATTGAATATTTAGCACATTTAAAAATTCAGTTGAATGTCTAATAGCAGAGCTTGGTTTAAAAATTGTATCTTTATATGATACAAACATATGGCCATTATAAAATGACCCAGAAATTTTATTAGGAATAGATATAAAAAAAATTACAGAGGGAGTTAAAGATAATTTTGAAAAATTGTGATCAGCAGCTGCCAAAATACTTTCTTGTCCAACTATTGAATGTCGATTTCGTACACCTGTAGAAACTGCAATATCTTCTCCGATAGGAACTTTATGCTTATCATTTGCAGAAATTAAACAAGTCCATTGATGGTATTTAATACAAAATTCTCTGAGATATCAGAAGAGTGTAGCACAATAATGCGTATCTTCACTATTTTTTCAAAGCATCCAACCCTGTACTTTAAATTTAACATTAAACCGACTAGTATAATATGCAGCCCGCATTGTGGTAGCATTTGTAGGGCAAAATTGAAGACGAATCTATTCATTGAATGAAATATTAATATCAGAAAGTAAAGGATCGCCATAATTAATTTTTAATCTTTCTACTATAGTTTCACGAAGGTCACAAATTGACAAGGCTAATGGTATATATAAAATAGTTCTATGTTACTGTTCATTTACTGCAAGACAGTTCTGAAGAAATAGATATTTATAATATAACATAATCAATATGAGTGACGCCAAGGGAAAAGGCACTCTAATCATATAAAATTTATATGATTAGAGTACCTGCATTACTCATATGGTAAGCAAATATAAAATATACTTGTTCATTAAAGTAGGCATCAGTTTTGTCCCAAAATGTATTAAATTTTGTTCCTTTAAATCTATTATTTGTTCGCAAGTCGAATACAATATTAGGATCTTTCAACATTAACATTAAGTGTAACCTCTCTTCCACATCATGACTAATTGTATCTGAAGTTACTGTAGCATTACCAGTAAGATCAAGATAGAGCATCTGTAATACTGCTGGCATAACTTTCCAAATATAGGAATACTAAAATACAAAAATTATAATGATAATGTATATATTCAATATTTTAAATATTATTTACATTATCTTACCTTATTAAGCACGTTTTTACGCATTTGTCATATAAAGTAATTGGTAATTCTTCGTGAATTCTAGCTAGTATATGTGCCTTCAATGTTTCATATTGCCTATCATTAAGTACTTCATTGTCTGGGACTCTCCATACATAATTGATTGTACCCAAATAATTTCCTTGATAATATCTAAAAAATAAAATAGCAATAATATAAATTAGATAAAATGCATACTAAATTTTGATATGATTACCATCAAAAAAAGCAAAAAAATCTTTAAAAACTTTAAAGATTTTTTATTTGTGGCATTTATATAATATCACTATATTATTGTATAGCAAAGGTACAAATACTAACCTGTATACACCGATTGGAAATGTAAGTTGCAAATCTTTTATAAATCGATAACGTTTTATAACATCAATTAGAAGAAATTGTTGAATATTAGCATGTTCATAAATTTGCTTTTCAAATAAAAAATCGTCTAATTCAATATAGTCATCTTTAAGTTTATTATGTTCACAGGCACCAATTTGGTAAATAATACTGTTATTTTGAAGGCTGCAAGCACTTTTATCACTGTAATGAAGTTCATTCATGCTAGTAGTAGTTGCAATTAAATAATCGAAATAATTTTTTAAGACTTCAATTAAAGAAAGAACTGCGGGTATTACTTTATTCCATATATCACCACTCACCCATGGCTAACTAATAGAAAGCTCAAGAGAGCTCGAAAGATATGTAAGTTTTTGCTGAGAAAGTTGATTTTTTTTATGATGACTAGTATAATAGTAATTGTTGTAGGATTCATCATTTTTATATATTTTTAACTGTGTGAAGAGAGTTGGCAAGTGGTATGAACGTGCTTTCAATGTCGAAAGATGTGGATCAATATACCACAAAGCACTTGTAAGACGATTTATGAATTCTTTTCCTATCGTTTCATGTGAACCGCATATCTAGCCAACTTGTTGATCTTGAAAAAGCTCAATAATTTCATTGTAAAGTCTGTCAAAGTTATTGTTCTCAGTACAATGTCTAGGAAGTAATAGTCTTCTCAAATTTGCCATTAAGATGTTAAAAGCATCTGGCCCATCTTGAGTTAAGTCTGGAGGATCCAAATTTTTACTATGAACAAGACAAAATTTAATCAGTCTAAAGCCCAAAACTTCTAACATTGCTAAATTGCTATTTAACCCATTGTCTACTTCTCACCAACCTTTAACTTCTTTCTGTCTAATAAAAATCTTCACCTCTCTTCCATCATATTGTCCTAATATGATTGCATCAAAAAGGTCAAAAAATTGATTATTTGTGGACTCTATGCTCATTACACGCTCAGAAATAACATATTTGACACTCTCGTTGACCTAAACCAAGAGATAAAGCATTCTTGAAAAAATTAATAATAGGTAAGTATTCACTAGAAATTAATGATGAGACTTTTTTTTTAGTTGATGTACATATACTATCATTATTGTTCAAGCTGTATTATTGATACTATTTGAGTGCGTAAGAGTAAAAACCTGCAACTGCATATAATGATTTACTATTATAAGTTTCAGGTTTTCACTCTCACGCACTTATTTTTGCTCCAATTCTAACTTTTTATAGTCTGTGATTTAAATTTTTTTCTTTTTTTGGTGATTAAAGAGTATTACAAAATAGGCTTTATACAATTAAAAGAAGGATGAATTATTAACGCTAGGCACTATTGGGAAGGGTTTTTAACTCCAAAACATTATGCAAGAAGAATTAAAATTCTTCATATTTAAATTTTGTATGTAGCTGTTACTTCTGTGGCTCTTGACCATTTAAAATTTACTCTGGTCCATCGCTTGTCTCTTTATTTAGATTCAACGAAAAGCAAAAACTTGTTAAGAAAAACTTCATTACCAATATAGTGTCAGATAAGATTTACTTTAATTTAACATACTTTTTTTTCAACTCTATACTAACAACACCTTCATTTATTTACAACCAATACCTTTGATCACACTCTCACTAGTAGCGTGAAAATGAGATATCTATTTTCTTTATTATTATCTTGGGGAAAGAGAACCTATGGTTTAGTAATCTCAACCTTCTCTTTATACAATTTTTACGTATTATGCTATGGTTATGCACGTATTTACTATATTATACTATTTGATTATATATTTTCTGCATTATGCTATCGCTATGTAAAACTACAAAAAGATTATACTCTTAAAATTTATATATGCAATGTATGTATATACATACGTACGTACTTACGTATATATGATGCAAGAAATTTAAAACTTTAATCTCGATATAAATTATCAATCTCAATAAAGTGAAGAATCTAGAATTCTCATTTCTTTGAATAGAAATAATGCGCCAGGAACCATATGCACTTAATAGCAACTATACTATGCTTGAAGCTATTGAAAATAATATATTTAGTTTTATTCTATATAAAGTGGTTGAGGTTCTTTAGATTTCCTGCACTGTACATACTGTATGTATCTTATTTGTAATTAAAGTTTCGTATTGATACACAGTTTTATTCTTATAGTTATACAAAGTTGGTGTATATGCTGTATATTATTTATACTATATAGGTCTTCAAAAAAGAGGGGGGGTTATATTAAACAGAAAATCAAATTGGTATAGCCTTATCTACATTTTTTTCTTTACTTGAGATATTGGTTTCAGTGATTCTTAAAACATTTATTGAATTATCTATAGCCCACTTATATAAAGAATCTATTTTCTGAGTGTTACTTTTGATATCATTGATATTATAAGTTACTATATTAAGTTCAGTTCTTCTTCGTGTATAATTTATAGTTATACTATTTATACTGTTTATACTTTCTTTCCAAATCAATACCTGCCTGTATATATATATACACTGAAATAGGTTTTTAAAAAAAGACTTAATTAGGCATCGCAACTTGCAATATACTTATATATCGTATTTTAGATGATTGACCAATCAAATTTCAAGATCAGATATAATGTAGCATGATCAAGAAGATTCAAAACAAATATTCATTTTGGCAAAAGTTACTTATAAC